AGACACAGCGTAAGTGACAGCTCAGACTTACACGACAGACACAGCGTAAGTGATAGTTCAGACTTACACGACAGACAGCGTAAGTGACAGCTCAGACTTACACGACAGACAGCGTGAGTGACAGCTCAGACTTACACGACAGACACAGCGTGAGTGACAGCTCAGACTTACACGACAGACACAGCGTAAGTGACAGCTCAGACTTACACGACAGATACAGCGTAAGTGACAGCTCAGACTTACACGACAGACACAGCGTAAGTGACAGCTCAGACTTACACGACAGACTTACGATCATAACCACGAGATTCGGCTGCCGACAGATCGAGTTCGCGCGAGGGCGACCTTGGGAGTGAAGGTCATCCCAGTCAAAAGGGCAGCCCTGCTACAATCTCATGACCTTGAGAAAGGAAAGGGCAGCCCCCACCCCAAAACACTCCCGACCTTGAGAGAAGGGCAGCCCCCACAACTATCTCATGACCTTGAGGGCAGCTCAACAACAAGGGCAGCTCCCTACCCCCCAACTCTCTCATGACCTCGAGGGAAGGATGCCCCCCCCCCAGTAACTCTTTCACGATCTTGAACAAAGGGCAACCAAGCGCGCGACCTTCAACGAGCGACCCATGCACGACCTTGAACCAGCGACCTCTACGCGACCTCCTCGCGGCTACAGCTGCGATGCCTCGTGGCAGTTGTTGAGCAGCTGCTGCTGATCGAGAGACTTCTTCATGTTTGCCTCGGCCACCATCGCCGCGTCGTGCAGGATCTGCCGAGGAGAGAGAGAGAGAGATTTGCATCGTTAGAATCACCGTGGCGATAGTGAGCAGCAGGGAAAAAAATAAAATTTATTTTTCGGGGGCTACTTTTCAAGCTCGTGTGCATGAAAATAGCACTCTAAAATTTGGTTTGCATTGAACTCTATGATAAATACAACAGGCTCTTTTTGGCATTTCGGGGGCTAAATCGCCCCAAGCCCCCGTGTATTTTTTTCACTGGTGAGCAGGTGACGTCTTGCGCGTTTTCTCGCTAAGCGCAATGCGCGATTTTACGATTTTACGTGTGTTGTGGACGTGTCGCCATTTCAGCATTAGAGCATCGTTTGAATACAGGTCCTTCATAGTTCGTCACAAATAAGAGGGGAAAACCCACGAACAAAGGTGAGTGAGATCACGACGGAATGTTTGGACACCGAATTCGAAACCGCTGCAACAAATTGCTGCGTAAAATAACAAACAATGCCTGTCGTGGCAAGACTGTGTGTGCATTTGCTGTAGCTCTATACAAATTCCGTGGTTTTTCGAGCAGGCCTGACATCAATAACATGCTCCACAAATAGGAGAAAGCCACTCAAAAACTCACTACTCAAAAAAGTCTTAATAATATTGCGATGAAACGCTCGAGCAACGAACGAGTAATCGCTGCGTAAAACAACAATGCTTGACACAGCAAGCTCCACACGCGTTTGCCGTAGCTACGAACGTTTCCGGTGACGAATTCCGCGTCTGCAGGGGGACGACTCTCACAAGGGCTGACCTCGCCTCGCAACAAGCGTGGGTCAGGGGAAAAATTACTTTTTTTCTCACAGGAGCTCTTTTTCAAAAGTCTGTGGGAAAAATAGCTCTCGTCGAAAAATTAACGGGAGCTATTTTTAGCCTCACGGGAGCGATTTCGGAGGTTTGAAGAGCGAATCGCTCATCGCTCCCGTATATTTTTTACCCAGCCTACCTTGTGGTGGCTGTCCATCTCTGCGAGAGAGTCGTCGATCCAGCCGAGGACGGACGGGGCGTGGCATGCGTGCTTCGTCACCACCACCAGGTGGTTCACGCAGAGGATGAGCGCCGTCGCCCTAGCAACGAAAACAATGTAGCAACGATGTAGGTTGGAAGGGAATTGAGGGTATGGGTAGAAGGGTTTGTTAGGCGTTGTATATGTTGTTATTGTTCGTCCTCACTTACATACTTGGTTAATTGTTTAAAACGCGAAATGTCTTGTTTTTCATTGGTAATTCTCGTTAATAAACAGCTATATCTGGTTTAATTCCAGTATATTTTACAAGGTAACAAATGTTAGTTGAAAATTAGTTTTGTCATCTATTGTCTATAACTCTTCTTTTGACTTGATCTGTGCGCCAAATCCTTTTAGCAATTGTACTAGAATGCGATGGAGTTTATTTAACGATGTAAAAGTAGAATTTTTTTAGGAAATAGTGCAGGTATAACAGACTCAAGGTAAATGTGTGATGATAAGTGTCAGCCAAATATGTGAAGTTAACTAGAATCCTTGAATGTGGATGATCGGCCACTCCATTTTCTTATAAGAATAAACGTATAAGAACGTTTCCATGTGTGTCGTTAGTGCTATTTTGGAGTAATCATTCTGATCAGTCTCACATTACTCCAAGGTGCTATGAAAGGTGAATTAAATAACACTTATATGCTCACAATATAACAATAAACTTTATTTACACTTTATTAAAAAAGTGATTTTTACATGTGTAAGTACAAATACAGTGTTATACACGTGCTTATTGTGAAATGTGCATAAACCATGTTTTTACGTGTTAATTGTTCCAAGAACGAATTATTGCACCAAACACGTACGCTCCAAAAATATTACAGGGTGTCAGCCTTTTGATTCATCTTACAAACAATCTAAAAAAATGGCCTAAAAATCTAAATCTAATTTCAGAAACCTGATTAACAAGATTGAAATTCGTTAATTATTAAACTATAACAACATTAACCATCACTTCTAATAAATTGCATTTTTAATCAATTTTTAAGTATCACGTTCATGGCAGCACATTTTCCATGAATATTTTTATTATAATGTAAGTATACACAGAAATACTTATAAGTACATAAAAGCACCGACTATTAAATGCACTTCTTGTCATAACAGTATAAACTAGTAAACCAGCACCAAGTGCGTGTAATAAAATATGTGGTAAAACATGTACATCCCTATAAATATGTTATATAGAGTAACGTGTAATAAATATAATTACAATGCGATCTATAATGATTTCTCAGTAACTTCAAATATTCAGGATTAAAACATGATATCATGTATGTTACGCATACTCGGTAACCGGTCCTATAAAAAGTTGCATAAAGAGGGAATGTTAACGCGAGTTCATATTTTAAAAACTGGATATTTATGCTCCGTCTGTACTTGAAAAAAATCGTTTGTGCATCTGAATATTTACCCAATATAGTGAATAGGTGATATAATATAATCAAGAGCATATTATGAAGGCCTTCCTAATACGCTCGTGATATAATTGATGATAAATACATTAATTACTTATTCACTTCAAGATACTCGTGGGAGTAAATATGGTAATGGTTGGTGATGAAAGTGGAATCACAATCGCAAAAATAAGTACAAAGCTTGGAATTGGCCATCTCACTGAACATGATTTTCTACAAATACAGCTTTACGGTTGGGCAAAATTATAGAAATTGCAGAATTAAACTGCTTGTGACTTTCACGTTTTCTGGCAGTTTGTATTAGTTCTATAAGAAACACATTATTTAAAAACGACAAATGTGGGCAATTTGAGGGCACTCTTGAGTAGTGTTACAGCTAGCACCTCGTTTACAAAGGAAAGAATTTCGCAGACGTGCATTTTTCTGGCAGTTCTTGGCAAGGAATGTGCGAGTCGTCTTCTTGGCTATGCAGTTTAACGCTGCCTACATTAAAAGTTTTGCCACGGCAAAGTTATTAACGTTAAATAGATTGGAAATGTTTTACGATAATCATGAGAATGATCTACCATATCCACCGTCAAGAATATGATAATAAAGTCGGCAACACTGCACACAAAATATGTCTTTAGCACGGAATTACGCGGAAAATATACACAACGACGATGCAGCAACTTGCACAAATACAAGATATCTGCCGTATACAAGATATGCATGGCAAATAACACTGGGACATAATATGTATGGGGTTGTATTTCGGACGATAGACGTACAGCGTAAGTGACAGCTCAGACATACACGACAGACTTACGATCATACCACGAGATTCGGCTGCCGACAGATCGAGTTCGCGCGAGGCGACCTTGGAGTGAAGGTCATCCAGTCAAACAGGGCAGCCCTGCTACAATCTCATGACCTTGAGAAAGGAAAGGGCAGCCCCACCCCGAACACTCCCAACCTTGAGAGAATGGCAGCCCCCACAACTATCTCATGACCTTGAGGCAGCCTCAACAACAAGGGCAGCTCCCTACCGCCAACTCTCTCATGACCTTGAGGAAGGATGCCCCACCCCCAGTAACTCGTTTCACGATCTTGAACAAGAGGGCAACCAGCGCGACCTTCAACGAGCGACCCCTGCGCGACCTGAACCAGCGACTCTACTCGACCTCCTCGCGGCTACAGCTGCGATGCCTCGTGGCAGTTGTTGAGCAGCTGCTGCTGATCGAGAGACTTCTTCATGTTTGCCTCGCCACCATCGCGCGCGTCGTGCAGGATCTGCGAGAGAGAAAGAGATTCGCATCGTTAGAATCACCGTTAGATGATGATATGACGTTAGATAGAATCACCGTTAGATCTCAATCATCCATTTTTACGATTTTACGTGTGTTGTGGACGTGTCGCCATTTCAGCATTAGAGCATCGTTTGAATACAGGTCCTTCATGGTTCGTCACAAATAACAGGGGAAAACCCACAAACAAAGGTGAGTGAGATCACGACGGAATGTTTGGATACCGAATTCGAAACTGCTGCCAACAAATTGCTGCATAAATAACAATTCCTGTCGTGGCAAGACTGTGTGTGCATTTGCTGTAGCTCTATACAAATACGCGGTTTTTCGAGCAATCACATGCTACACAAATAGGAGAAAGCCCACTCAAAAAAACTCCTACTCAAAAAAGTCTCAAATAATATTACGATGAAACGCTCGAGCAACGAACGAGTAATCGGCTGCGTAAAACAACAATGCTTGAAACAGCAAGCTCCACACGCTGTTTTGCCGTAGCTACGAACGTTTCCGGTGACAAATTACGCGTACTGCGAGGGACGACTCCCAACAAGGGTGACCTCGCCTCGCCAACAAGCGCGGGTCAGTGGAAAAATTACTTTTTTTTTCACGGGAGCTCTTTTGTAAAAGTCTGTGGGAAAAATAGCTCTCGTAAAAAAATTTACGGGGAGCTATTTTGAGCCTCACGGAGCGATTTCGGAGGTTTGAAGAGCAATCGCACATCGCTCCCGATATATTTTTTACCCAGCCTACCTTGTGGTGGTGTCCATCTCTGCGAGAAGAGTCGTCGATCCAGCCGAGGACGGACGGGGCGTGGCATGCGTGCTTCGTCACCACCACCAGGTGGTTCACGCAGAGGATGAGCGCCGTCGCCCTAGCAACGAAACAATGCAGCAACGATGTAGGTTGAAGGGAATTGAGGGTATGGGTAGAAGGGTTTTGTTTACTCCTCTCTATGTGTCGCTGTCCCTCTGTCTTGCTCGCTCTCTCTCTCTATTTCTCTGTCTCTCTCTCCGTGCGCGCGCTATTCTCTCTCTCTCTCTCTCTCTCTCCCTTGCACTTGTTTTCGCTTCACTCTCTCTCTCTCTTGCTCTTGTTTTGCTCTCACTCTCTCTCTCTCTCTCTCTCTCTCTCTCTCTCTCTCTCTCTCTGCACTGTTTTGCTCTCACTCTATCTCTCTCTCTCTCTCTCTCTCTCGCTCTCTCTCTCTGTCACGTGCGCGCTCTCTCTTTCTCCTTCGCGCGCTCTCTCTTTCTCTCTCGCACGCGCTCTCTCTTTCTCTCTCTCTCTCGCTCTCGCTCTCACGTCTCTCTTTCTCTCTCGTCTTTTCTCTCGCCGCGCGCTCTCTCTCTCTCTCGCTCTCACTCTCTCTTTCTCTCCTGCCTCTCACTCTCGCGC